TGTTGATCAAGAAGTACCAGAAGGACAATTAGTACGTTTAGATTATATACCAGCTGGAAATCCTGAACCTACTTTAGCATGGTATCGTAACGATAAACCATTACAACCAAACGATGCTGATCATCGTGATACTGTTAATGAAGGTGGTCTTTGTTCATTACTTATATCTAATCCACAATTAGGACCACCTGTTAAATATACATGTGTAGCTAAGAATAGATATGGTGAAGCATCATTTACTGTTCATCTTAATGTTGTTGGTATGTTCGATTTTTATTTGAAAAAACAAAAAATTTTTTTTTGCTTTTTAGAACGTGGTTCAAATATTGCTCCTTATTTCATTGAACAACTTTATCATATAATTATTATTGAGGGTCAAGATGCACGTTTAGATGCTTGTGCACAAGGCTTTCCTGAACCAAAGGTTACATGGGAGAAAGAGGGTCAACCTCTTACTCCTAATAAAGAATACAAGTAAAATTTATTGATTGATTGATTGATTTATTTATTTATTTAATTATTTGTTTTTTAGAGTTGAATTCGAAGGAGCTAAAACTACATTATATATACGTGAAGCTAAGATGACTGATGCCGGTTGGTATCAATGTACAGCAACTAGCGTTGCTGGTACAGCTATTACAAAATGCAAAGTGACTGTTATTCGTACGTATTAAATTTTCATAAATATATTCGAGCAATATAAACACTCAGATTTTTTCTTTAGTTTACAGTAACTCTAAAAATTAATTATTTTCGATTTGTTTCTGTAATGATAACAGTTACCGAAAGGGAAAAAACATTTTTTTTTGACCATTTCTTAATATCGATGGAGTTCCATCAAAAAATATCGTAGAAAGCTCGGAGACGTCTTCTTTTGTAGAGAATTACTTGCTCTAGTTTACTAATGAGGTTTTTTTTCTTACTCTAGCATTATCTGAAGCTGGTCAATATGTCAAAGATTTACCACAATTTGGACCTCAGACTCTTGCTAAATTACCAATGTATGTATAACTAGGAATTCCATTTTTCTTATTTTGATAATCTTTATTTTTAGTTTACCGGAGGAAGATACTCGATCGAAATACATGACTATTCCAGTTAAACCACCTGATGTTAAACCTGAAGATTTATATAAATTACCAAGACGTTTTAAAAGACCAGATCAGCCTCCTGAAGAAGGCAAAAGGTAAAAATATTAATAAATAAAAACAACAAAAAAAAAGAATCGAACTTCTAAATTTTCTATTTCTTTTTTTTTGAATATAGACGAGGTGGAGGAATATTACCTGATGAAGTTGTTGAAGCACTTCAAATGAATTTAGAAGAATTTCCTGAAGAAGAAATGTATAGTAAAGATCGTCCACAACCACCAAAATTCAAAGTTCATATCAAATCTCAATTAAACTTAAATGAAGATGATCCATGCATATTTGAAGCTAAATTAATACCTGTACGAGATCCAATGATGCGTGTACAATGGTTTAAAAATGGAAAAATTCTTCATCATGGTAAAACAAAACTATTTATTTTAATTTCTTCTTACTATAACTTTTTATTAATATGATTTATTCTTTTTTTAAAATATTTTAGCATCAAGAATGATTCCTCGATATGATTTTGCTGATGTATCACTTGAATTTCTTTGGACATTTGCTGAAGATGATGGTATCTATGAATGTGTTGCAACAAATCCATATGGTGAAGATCGTACACGTACTGAATTAAAATGTCGTCCTAAACGTTCTATTATTTATAATACACAATTACCAGAAGGTATGGAAGGTGTATCAAAATTACAAATGTTAGAAGATGAAATAAGGTATCAAAAAACAAAAAAAACTGTTTTTGTTGTACATAAAAATTTTTTGTTTTTTTGTTTTTATAGATACACAGCAAGTATGATTGGATTAGAAGAAAAAGTTCAAGAAAAAGAACCAAAAGTACCTGAATTTATTATGCCATTAGAAGATATATCTGTTGATGAAGGTGATAATGCAAAATTTATTGCTAAAGTTGATGGTCATCCACGTCCAAGAGTAACATGGACAATTAATAATACTGATATTGCAAATGTAATCATGGAAAAAAAAATTTTTTTTTTCTTAAATATTTTTTTTTGTTTTATTTAAACAGGGAAGTCGGTATAAATTAGTTTATGATGGTCTTGTTCATTATCTTGATATACCAAGAACAAGACAATATGATGCTGGAACAGTTTGTTGTATAGCAAAAAATGCTCTTGGTCAAACTGAAAGTGTCGCTACACTTACTTTAAAACCACGACCAGATTATCGTTCTGCTCTATCAAAAACACCAGGTGGTATTGAAACTGGTTTAGATGATTCATTTGATGTTGATATTGAAGAACGATTAAGATTACGTTCACAACTTCGACAAAGAGAATCAGGTTTGTTAATAATAAAACTGAATCGAAGAATTTGAGACTGAATTTTTCATCCGAAAATAAGAATATTCTTTTGAGAAATAGATTAATTCTTGTGTTTTTTTTTCTCTTTTATAGTTGACGAACGAGTACGTCGTCCATCAACTGATAAACTATATCCATTACATTCGAAAGTTGCCGATCGTTTGGCATGGCGTCAAACTGTTGAAAAAATGGGTGATGCACCAAATTTTACAAGATCATTATTACCATTAAAAGCTAAAGGTTTTATTTCATATTAATTCTTTTTCAATATTAAAAAAAAAATTTCTTTGTTCTAAATATAGAGGGATCAAAAGTAGTTGTTAGTGTTGAATTTACTGGTGAACCAGCACCAACAGTATCATGGTATCGTGATGGATTTATGGTTGAAGATTCTGAAGATTTTAAAATTCATACAACAGCTACAAAAAGTATACTTACAATTAAACATGCTTTTATTATTGATTCAGGTTTATATACTGTTAAATTATTTAATCCAATTGGTATACGACAATGTCAAGCTGCTATACGTATTGTACCAAGTAAATTTTAATTTAAATATTTGTTCTTTCTTTTTTTTTTGTATTGATATATTTTACATTATTTTATTTCTAGTTATTGCTGAAGATCAAACACCAAGATTTCTTGATGTTCCACAAGATGCTGAAATTCTTGCCGGTGAACCCGTTCGTTTTCAATGTCGTGTTGAAGGTGAACCATTTCCAACAGTTGACTTCTATCGAGTAAAAATACAATCAAAAAAAAAACATATTTTTTTTCTATAAATAAAAAAATCTTTTTATAGGAAGATGAACCAGTTAATCTTAATGATAAACGTTTTCGTGCTATTCAAGAAGGTGATGTATTTACATTACTTTTATTCGAAGCTTTACCAGCTGATAGTGGTCAATATGAAGCCGTTGCTGAAAATTCAGCTGGAAAAGCTAATACACGTTTTACATTAATTGTAACACCACGAGGACCTGGTACCAAAAAAGCATCAATAATTGATGATCCAAAATTAGTTCATAAAGTACCATATCTAGAAAAACCATTAGAAGATTTACACGTTAAAGAAGGACAATCAGCTACATTTGAATGTATTATACCAGCTAGTTATGGTATGAAAATTAAAAACAATATATAAAATAAAAAATTATTATAATAATTTTCTTATTATAAAAGGATCGGATATTAGATGGTATAAAGGAACATCAGAATGGGCAATTAAACCATCGAAATTCTTTAAACCACAATCTGATGGAACAAAACATCAATTATTTATTCTAGAAGCATATGCAGAAGATGCTGGTTAGATTATTTTGTTTCTTTGTTTTTTTTCTACAAACAAATCACATTTATTTTTAGGACTCTATAAATGTGTTGTTTCAAATCCAGTTGGAACAACAGCTACTACTGCTGCATTGAAAGTTGATCGTAAGCTTTGGTTTTTTTTTGTTTCACTTAATGGTTACTAAATTGAATTTTTGTTTTTAAAATAGATGCAATGCAAGTACCAGAATTCGCTCTTGGTTTTAGTAATTTAACTACATATGAAGGTGAACAAGTACGTTTTGAAGTTGAAGTACGTGGTGATCCACTTCCGACAATATCATGGTATCGTGATGGAGAACTCATACGAGATTCACCCGATTTTCAAGTAAAAAAGAAAAGATTTTTATTTTAAAATAAAAAAATTAAATCTTTTTTTTTTTTTTGTTATAATAGATCTTTACTGAACGAAATCATAGTTTACTTTATATATCAGAAGTATTTATGGAAGATCAAGGTTTATTTACATGTAGGGCTTCAAATTCAGCTGGTTCAATGGATTGTGCAGCTCGTCTTATTGTTGAACCACGACCACAACTTTAATACAAACAAAACAAAAAAACAAATAAATAAACATATTGATTCATTGCCCTTTTTTTTCTTACTCCTTTTTTTACACTTTGTAATGCTTTGTTGTATCACGTAAAATTCTTTTTGTTTCTTTTTTTTCTTCTCTTTGTTTTTGCACGCATACAAAAAATTTGCCGCCGTCCCCCTAAAACAATGCGCTTTTCTTAGAACAATATGCCACATAAAAAAAAAACACAATAATATGAAATAATTATTATTATAAAATAAAAATGAAATTAAGCTTTTAAAATAAATGGTTATCTATATAATAATATAAATTCGTTTTTTTTAAATAGAATAGATTTAATCAATCAAATAAAAATTTCATTTTAAAAATTTTCATCTATTCTCGTCATCGATTTCAGAAATATCTACAGTAAGTCTCAATGTACTGTTATAAATCTCGATAAGCTAGGAAACACTGATATTGAGTATTTTCTAATATTATAACTCGATCAGTTTACATTTTTAATATTGATCATATGACGGTTATGACAAATCAATACATCATTACTCATCATCATTAATATGTTGTATATCAATATAGTATAATAATCGAACAATAAAAGATATTAATTAATCAATAGTGGACGGTCACAGCTGTGCCTTTTATTGTCATTTCATATATATTATTTATTGCTTCTCACAAGTATAGACAACAGCTTTTATAACGATGTTCGTTCGTTGGTTGATACTGATAATACCTATTGGTGCAATTTATTTTCAATATGTTTATTCCGAGCGGCTTGTAGGTGGATTGCAAAAAAGTTCTAGCAATGAATTAAAGACTGAAATGGTGAATTTAGCACGTCAACAATTAAGTTCAAATCCTCATTTAGCTTCTAAACGTATTCGAGTACTTGATTTGTATACACAAATAGTTGCTGGTACCAATATATGGTTAACATTTATCGTTGGTGAAAAACAAAACTGTACATTAACCGCTTTCAAACCATTACCTTATACTAAGAAACCTATTGAAGTAATATATTTTGCATGTAACAATATCACATCTATTAATGACGCTGCTAAATATAATTATTAAATTGATATTTCATAAAAACATTCTTTTTTTCTGATGTAAACTATTCTTATTATGTGAATAAATATTGAATGTCATTTATTTGAAATATCTCTTTGTTATAAATTTCTACTACTATAAAGAGCATACTTGATTATCCGTTAAAGATGCGTCATAAAATTCTCTACGAGAGTGGTAATGAGAAATTTTATCGAGTTAGTTTGATGATTTTTTTATAAGACTAAAAACGTAGCACTTTGTGATGGAAAAATAACTTTTCATGATATTATGATGTGCTTTTCAAAAACAATTGAAATAAAATAACACAAAAAAAATATGAATGTTAATGAAAAATATGATTGCTATTATGTTGTTCAACCGCACAAATTCGTTGGAGAAAAGACCCCATCATATTGCGAACATAACTGGCATCAATTTTTTTGACATGTTCTTTTTATTTCTTTCCTCGAATGTTCTCATGCTTTAACCTTCTGATAATCAAATTCTTTATATTGGTACTACTCGAAGCAGAATAATCTAATGGACTCAAGTCTGGTAAGTAAAAAGGCGACCGATCTTTAGATCCATTTCTCCATCAGTTACGATCTACACTGCCTAAAGACCTCAAAAACGGGCCAACTCTCATCGTAAATTCCTATCAGCTCTTATGCATTTGGTTGTCAAGATTTGTCTCGGCATCATTCCTACGAATATTCACTCTTGGAATTCTTACTCAACAAATGACTGCAAAGGAGAAAAATTTACTAAAAAATTTATGTAAAATAACACTTGCTTCTCCTTTCAACATTCAGATTGACTTAAATAAAAGAAAAATTTACATAAATAAATATTTACGGTTATGTTTTCAATATTTGTTAGGAATTAAAACCAATCACACAAAACTGTCGATTGAGCGCGTTTAATCGACGCTTTTGCAAAAAAAGACGACATGGAAAATTTCCAAAAGTTAAGTTTATTTTAACTTTAAATCCAATTTTATATCTAAAAATAAGTTTAAACTTCGTAAATTTAAATCGAAAAAAATTTAAATTTTCCCAAATTTATTTTGGAATTTAATAAATTTTCGTAAATATAAATTGAGCGTCTCTATACGTGACAGCTTGAACAATAATGGTATCAGTATGGGTGTGGCTTGTACATATGGATGCCGGTGTAGTATGTCGGTGAATAATAGAGTAACTGACTATAATAGTCACATTCATACCTTCAGCAAGATTTCTCTTATGATTTGCGATGGTCTATCGGGAATTATCGACAACCATCAGCAGCCATCAACGCCAATATCATTTTTATGCTAGCAAACTTGAAAAACTATTCTAGACCCTCGTGGTATAATATTTTTATTGAATTTTTGGTGATTCATGCACTTTGTGCAAAGAAATCTTTGGAGTACATTAAAGTTTTAATTTATAAGCAAGAGTGTATTTATCATATACACTAAATTATATACTGTTGATATTAAGCATTCAATCGTTTTAATTTCATAATGTCATTAAACTAAATTTGTTTCAAGAAGAAAAAATTCGAAGCGTATAAGGACGAGTATGTACTGTTGTACTAACTCAATACCAATTGTGTATAAGAATAGCTATAGACATTTTTTTTAGACTTTTTATATATATATACATTAGTAAGGTGCAGGA